GATTTCTAACTCCCTTGTATTTTCCAGTGGTGTATAAGCTCATGAGGCTCAAATGCTTTAACTTTTAAATAGGATTTGTGTGTGTGTGTATGTGCGCACGCGTGCACGAGTGTGTTTTCTGGGTGAGTGGATGGCATGTGTTTAAGTACTCTCACAGGCCAGAAGATGGCATCAAGTTTCCTACAGCTGCCTATGCAGATGCTAGGAAGCAAACTTGAGTCCTCTGAAAGAGCAGCAATGCTCTCAACTAATGTGGCGTCTCTCTAGCCCCTTCTGTGTGTCTGTGTGTGATTTCTGTTAGACAAGATTTCTCTATACAGACAGCCATGGCTAACCGGAACATTTTCCGCTGGGCCTAAAGGAACTGCACCACCATGCCTAGGTCTTCTTTTTACTTAACTGCAGCACAAACACCGCTTCACCTGGAGCTCTCCAGAACTAAGGCAGCTGGAGTGTCAGTCACAGGAGCCCGAGGCGGGAGAAACGCGGCCTTTCCAAGCTCTTATTTCCCTCAGCCTCAGCGGTGGCGTAAACTGACACCTCTCAGAGCGGCCAGTGAGCTTTGAGTGAGATGGTAGGTGACGGATGTGTCTGTCACAGAGCAGAAACTAAATTTTGTCGTCCAAGTCGTTGATCAGCGCCTCTCATCCAAAAACCTGAGGAAAACACTGTCTTCCGATGCACCAGCAGATGCTTTCGCCTGACAGAGGGACCGCACAGCCTTCAGGTGGCCTCTCCCCCATCTTCGGCTGTGGGGAAAGTCCTGGCTACGCTACACCCAGCTGTGGATCTCCACGATGAGGGAGGCAGCGTGGCTTAGGTACTGGGTTTAGGGCTGGGTCCTGCAATCTCATGGTATGTGGTCTCGCCATCTTGGGTAATTCTCCAGGCTTCCTGAGCCTTAAGGCCCTCTATTCTTGGGGAGTGAAAATGCTGAGGACGCCAATCCCTCTGGACTGGTGGGGAGGCCCTTACAGCTTTCATCAGCAAAAAACAAAAGCCAAACAAAACACCTGAGTGCTGATGATTAGCCGTCCAGGCTCTTTTTCTCTGTCAGTGGGAAACGGCACGGGCTTGTGACATGACTAAGGCTGGCTGTCCTCCGATCCTCCTGCCTCAACCTCCCAAATACTTGGTAGGGTTTCTTTTTCTTTCTTTTCTTGTTTTTGGAGACAGGGTTTCTCTGTGTAGCCCTGGCTGTCTTGGACTCACTCTGCAGACCAGGCTGGCCTTGAACCCACAGAGATCCGCCTGCCTCTGCCTCCGAGTGCTGAGATTACAGGCATATGCCAACTTGCCTGGCTGGCAGGGTTTCTTTTTAAAACAAGGTTTCATACACATATGTAGTGCGTTTTGGCTATTCTCACCCATTACTCTCTCACTTCCCTGCTATTCCCGCTGAACCTAACAAGTCCCCCTTCTACTTTCATGTCTTTGGCTTCTTTGGGATCCAGTGAGTTTAATTAGCGTTACTTGCATGAGCCTGGGTGTGGGGATCTTTACCAGGGCATGGGCAACTTCCGGTTGCTATACCACTGCCAAAAATGCTTCTCTTCCCCAGAAACCACAGCTTCTCAGGAAGGGGCTGGGCTTGCAGGGCTCCTCCTCCATCCGGGATGGGATGTTGCTGCGTCCCATCTTGTTCCAGTGGCCACAGATGCTGTGAGCCCCTGAGTGCCAAGGCCAGGCCATGTCTAGAAGACAGCATTTAACAGTACCCCATCCCGAGCCCCCAGCCTCTCCACTACTTCTGCTCCTCTTCCATGATAGTCCCTGAGCTTTGGGAACTGAAACACTGTCCCACTAAAAAAACCTTAATTTTATGTGCATGGGCATTTTGCCTACATGTATGTCTGTATACTACATACAAGCCTGGGGCCTGAAGGGGCCAGAGGCGAGTTGGATCCCCTGGAACTGGATTACCAATGGTTGTGAGCCGCCATTAGTGCTGAGAATCAAACCCAGGTCCTCTGGAAGAGCAGTCAGTGCTAATCTCTGAGCCCCGAGATGTTCCATTTCAGACGTTACTCAAGCTACTTCCTCCGCATTTTGACCAGTTATGAGCCACTGCATTAACCAGCGCTCACTGCTGTGAACAGCAACTTCTCTGACCAAGGCTGAGCGCAACACTAGTCTATGGGTGTCAACTAAGTATTCAGAGGACAGTTTGGCAGGACGTCCACTTAGCAAAACAACAATGGGTTTCACCCTAAGGTCTACGGCCTCCTCAGCCATGGGCTTTTGACCAGGTCTACAGAACCAGGCATGAACTGGCTCTTACGGAATGCGTCTCAGATCCAGCCAGAAAGCAGACATAGCACTACTGCCCATCTTGCCTCGCACTGTAGTTCACAGGGCTCACATCTGGGTAAGAACACTGCCTTCCCTCCCCTGCCAGCCTGCATGGCATCTTCCACACGATGAAAGCTAGCCAGCAGGAAGGCAGCTCCAACTTGATTTCTCTCTTGCCTTGCAACTCAAGCGTGTGGTGTCTTCATTCTAGTTTTACTGGACAACCCAGAGCAACAGCAATCGCCTGTATTGTCTTGGAGGCCTCTGGGTAGGATTTCAAGTGTAATTGTTTTCCCTCTCTCCTTGTAATACTTGCATTTTGTATTTCAAACTTTGTTTTGCTACATAATTCCCTTTCATTCATTTATTTATTTTTAAAAGACATTTATTGTGTGTCAGGGGCTCACCCATGCTATGGAGAGTGGAGGACAGAAGACAACTTGAGGGCCTCAGTTCTCTCCTACCACGTGGGCCCCAGAAATCTAAGTGAGGTCACTGGGTTCAGCAGCAAGTCATCTTTACCCACTGAAGTACCTTGATGGCCCTTTCTTTTATTGAGGTAGGGTCTCACGCTATAACTCAAGCTGGCCTCGAGGCAATTGTGCCTCAGCCATACTGAGTTTTTGTTTTGTTTTGTTTTGTTTTGTTTTAATAACTGTGTCTCTTAACTTATTCTGCCCCCTTCTGGGAGTATACCAAAAGTGACAAAAATCATTCCTGAAGAGCTGTCAGTCTTCCCAGGGACAGGAAATGCCTTCCACTAATTTTGTGTGACATGTCCCCTGGCCCCATGCCCTGTTTTTAAAATGGCTTTTGGGTTTGGAGCTGGTTGACGTTGAAGCATCGCTGCTGAGTAAGCTGGCCCAGCCGGGGCTTGCACCGATGGGGCTCAGCTGTCCACCCGCTCTCGCTCATTCACCAAGGTGTGCACAGATACTGCAGGACAGTGCACGGTGAGAGATCTCCCAATGCCGCAGCCGCTCTCCACGGCTGCAGCCAGCCCTGCAGCATGGAAGGAGGACGTTACCAAAAACACCACCTCAGTGTCTTTAGAGAGGCCATCACAGGAGCAGCATGGAAAGCCTGCCGGAGCCGGGGGGCGAGGAGGTGGTACTCGGGGGTTACTATCCCTTTAGTGAGCACCAGGAGGAATGAGGTAGAGAAAACAGTGTGCTCCATGGCTCAATGTGCTCAGGGAAGAGATGGATGAGAGGCCTGGAAAGTCAGGCTGGAACGGAAGGGGAAGCCCACCAGAGAGCCCACGGCCTATAAAGTACCTGAGTTTTGTCTTGAAGATGTGGTTGTGGTGTGGCAACTGGCAACAGCCATGAATAAGGATCCCGAGACTCACAGCAGGGCTCTGTGTTAAGAACTGCTGAACCCTAATCCTGAATCCTGTGGATACAAGCCCTGCAAGCAGAGGCCGCTTTCTGCTTCGAGATTCAGCATGAACACAGAACCTAAGAGAGGTGGGCAAGGGTACCATGGTGGGCCCAGATGACCTTTAAAGTTGCGAGCAAATTCGAGGCTCCAGGACACTAAAGCCCAGTAGCTAGGCTGGGCTCTGTGGCTGGGGAGCTGCCCTGGGCAGCAATGGGTTAATGCTCAAATGACTTTTATATATGAATTAATGTGCAGAGTTAGGAGCCAAAATCTGTTCCATTAATTTTTCCATCCATTCCAGGAGCAGTTAGGTACACACAGTAAAGTTTATTTTGGTGCATGGCATACTTCACTCCATTAAAAATAAATTAATCAGCAAATTCCTGCCTGGCTCGCCTCTGGTTTATGTAAATAGTGCCCAGATGTAATGAGTTACAAGGTGCTATTATCTCACACTCACAGAGGACGCTTCACTCCAGAGCCCCGCTTGCAACAAAAGCATCTTAAATAAACCAAGGGGGCGGCTTGATTTGTAATGTTTTCACAGAAGTGGCGTATACCTCACAGTATAGAGTTTCTTTATATGACTCATTTTATAGCAAGTTCAATGAAGGAAGCTGGATGGGGGAGGGAGGGGGGAGACGGGTCCCACCCCTTTCCTCAATTTCAGAAAACCTTCCAAGAGATGACCCAAACTCTCAGAGAGGAGAGAAGAGGCCCCTCAAAGCACATGCTTTAGACAGTGGGGAGCAGGCAGCAGCTGGCCTGCGGCTGGCGCTTGGGGTGGTACCAACAGGCCAGGAAGAATATATTCTTTGCCACACTATCTCATGTAAAGGGAGGCTGAGAGGGCAGAGACAGCGTGTTCCTTCCCCTGTTCACTCTGGGTGACAAAGGGACTTTTGTTCTTTCTAAATGACTTAGGATGTACAAGCCCCTTGATCCTCAGAGACCTCCCGAGTCCCAGAGAACATGCCCACAGACTGTGCTTTGCCCAGGCAGTGACTCCTCTCTGTGATCTGGAGACAGGAGGAGTGGGAGCAGAGAGTCCCTGACCTACCCCTCTCGCCGCCTCTAACTGAGCTGGAGTTAATTCTTGAGCTTGGCGCATCCTGCCTCTCACCTACATTTCCCTTCTTTTCTTTTGGTTTTTCGAGACAGGGTCTCTCTGTGTAGTCTTGGCTGTCCTAGAACTTACTCCGTAGATCAGGCTGGCCTCAAACTCAGAGATCTGCCTGTGTCTGCCTCCCAAGCGCTTGGATTAAAGACATGTGCCATCACACCCGGCTTTACCTATGTTTCTGAAAGATCCTGGAACAAAGAGGAACCATGGCAGAAAACGTCTCTTTTTAATGGCTACTTGAACCGCATGGCTCACAGCTGGGGGATAGTATATGGTCACCATCTTGACTTAGGAGCATTATAAGTCAGGGACAGGGGCCCCTGGTGAGGGCACCCCTTTCTAACCTACCCATCCCTTTCTCGGCCTTCGCAAAGAGCTCCCAGTCACATGTGTTGCTGGAGGGACTCGGGAAGTGTGCTTGGGGCTTCTCTTGAAGGAGGGACATGTCGGAAGAGCGAGAGGGCCTCCCAGCAGCACCCCACCGGATCAGTCTCCGGGCTCAGGAAGAAGAAACTCAACACAAACGGGCCGAGTATTCAACAGGTGCTGTTCAAAAGTCAATTCAGACCACCTTCTTCAGGGTCCCGGGACAAACAGGCACTTCTTCCCTGGAGGATTCCTCAAAGCCAGCCAGCCAACCGTCCAGAGGGACCAGTCTCTCAAAGACCCTCGTCATTGTAAGTAGGGGCATGGGGCTTCAAGATGCTTTGTGGATTCTTCTCCACCAGAGGGCGCCATGTCACTTCCCCTGTCAGAAGCAGGTCCTCGCCGTTCATGGAGTCCAGGTATTGCATCTACAAGTAGAGAGAGCAAGTGGACAGCGTAGATAGAGGCTCACGTGATTGGAGAAGGTACAGCCTCCCCAGGGAGAGGACAGGGTCGGAGGTGGTCTAGTGGTAACCTGGCTGTCCAACTCCCAAGATTACTGCATTAGCGAGACTTGGAGAAACACTACCTTGGGCGGTGGTTCTCAACCTGGGGATTGCGACCCCTTGGCAGTCAAGTGACCCTTTCACAGGGGTTGCAAATCAGATTTCCTGCGCCCACTGCAGGTGAGGAAGATTTAACCCCTGCTACACCCTCATTACAAAGTTCTTGCAGGCCAAGAAGTTACAGCATGTGATTTCCAGAAGTCACCCTGTCTACTCTCCCCTTCCCTGGTGGCACTGAGCAAGGTGGCCACCTTTGAACCTATGTCCCCTTGTCTGAGAGCAGCTGGAAATGTATATCTCATGGGGCACGGGGGAGAGTAAACAGCAAGGCGGATCCTTCAGTGGGCCCAGTGGGCCCGGCCCCACAGGGCAGGCTCCCTCACGGAGCGGGGGGTGGGGGGGGGCACACACAACTGTGAGGGTGTCACCTTACAGCCCAGATCGTCCCCTCCTCAAAGAGCTCACTGCTCCTTTGTGTTGTATTTCATGATGACCTTGAACTTCGCCGCAGCCTCTCACCTCAGAGGTCCAGCTTTGCCGGAGAAGCAGGGCAAGCACACCATAGCCAGCGCCTCTTCAGCTCCCCTGCTTCTCCCCCAGATGCCATTGTTTTGACTACCTCCTGGGTCGATAACCTCAACATGACTATGGGTTGGTTACCAAACAGTAGCAGATGTGCAGCACCGAAGGTTGCTCGAAGCCCACCTTCCTGGGCTGCCCTGACACCCAGTCAGAACAAGCCTTTCCCGGGTCTTGCCCAGCCAGCACACTCCTGAACATGGTCGCACTATGGACTGACTGACTGACTCCAGGCCTGCTGGGTACCTGGGTACCTGCTGGCTCCTTGAGGGTGGGACTGAGTCCCTAATCTCTGCTCTCAGTCAGGCCTGACGCAGCAGCACTCTAAGGCAGGACAGAACTGCCTCTCCATCAAAAGCTCCTTGCTCTTGCCTACATCCCATGGGGCCAAATGTGACTTCTCCCAAGGACATCAGTTATGGCAAACTCTTCTTTTTGGCCCCTGGCGAGGTCTTAGCTGTGCCTTGTCATGGCTTTTGGCACAAGCCCACCAGGACAGAAGGAAAAATTGGGTGGGTCTCTCAAAAAACAATGTTTGCTTTGCCAATTTCAACTCCTGTCTGAGGGTGAGGCTCTCTAGCCGCAGGGCCTTCCCCCTGGCCCCGGCCCATGTGAAGAAGTCAGATAGCAGTCCGGACTTCTGGAGTTCTCTACCATCTGGCTATCAACAGCTTCAGCATGTCAGCTTTTCAGCAGGCAACTAGCCAGTCCTATCAGCCCTGTCTGCTCTGGAACTGGGATCTGGCCTTCCCTTTCCTGGTGGCTGGAGGCCAGCACGGCCATGGAGGTGAACTCAAGGATCACTATGGCACGATAGCCCTTCAGCCCCGGGGGCCAAGGGCATGAAGCAAAGGTGTGACTCAGAGACAGCTCAAGCTGGTGAGCTGTCAGCAGCAGCTGTGGTGGCCTCCAGTGGTTAAATGATTCACCGCGCTTGGGGTCTGAGGCCAGTCGTGTAGGGTGAACCACTGGAGGACCCGGGAAAAGCCTCCATGCTCCACCTCAGGATGAGTGGATCTATTCATTCGGAAGGCATGTGCTTCCCACCCAAGCAGGATCTGGGGCAGGAGATAGGGGTTAACTCCACTCAGGCTGGGGAAAGACCTGTGCTCAAGCAGTCCTTTCCAAAGAGCTCCCAGGGAGCCCTGAAAAGCCAGAGCGGGGAGGACCTCACACGGGACCCTGCTTGACTGAGAGGAGCAGCCAGGGGGAGAACTGGAGGTGCACTTGTTAGGTGCTGCCGGAAGCCTGGCCCTGCTAGAAGTCAGGAGCAGAGGGAGCCACATGAATACAAAATGGGCACACTGAGTATCACCATGCTTCATGCCCCATCTTCCAGGACTGAGGGCGTATTTAGCACAGCACCCAGACCCCCAGACCCAGCAGTAATGAAACAGCCAGTGAGTAACCACAGCTTTCTGAAAGCAGAACGCTCTTCCCTTCCTCTCCGCCTCCATCCCTCAGATCCTCGGCCTAGTTCATAACTGGACATGTAACATGCTCATTCTTTGTTGTTGTTTTGTTTTTTCAAGATAGCAACAGTCTTGAAAAGACAAGAGTCGATGAACTCTATGTAGACCAGGCTGGCCAAGAGGCCTGCTGCCTCTGCCTCCCAAGTGTCAGGATTAAAGGTGTGCACCACTAGGATAAAATCCAGATAAGGGAAGGGGAAGGGAAAGGGGAAGGAGGGGAAGGGGAAGAGTGAAAGGGGGGAAGGGGTAGGGGAAGAGGGGGAGGGGAACGGGACGGGGGAAGGGGAACAGGAAGGAGGAAGGGGAAGGGGGGAAGGGGAAGGTGGAAGAGCAAGGGGTGAAGGGAAGAAGGAGAAGGGGAGGAAAGAAGAGGAAGGGAAAGGGAAGGGAAGAGAAAAGGAAAGGTAAAAGAAAAGGTAAAAGGAAAGGAAAGGTATAAGGAAAGGAAAAAGGAAAGGAAAGGAAAAGAAAGGAAAGAAGGAAGGAAAACGATTCCTCTTTATCAGTGCTTGCTGCTTATGTGATTGGGTCGGAAGCCTTTGAACTTCTCCTGATAAGTAGGCCTCTTACGACCCACGAAGACCGTGACTCCATAGTATGACTCAAGAAGACTCAAATGCTGCCCCATTTGAGGGAGACAGTGCTAACCTGTTTCCTCACATATTCCACCAGCAATTCAAGCTGTCGAGGGTCTTCACATTTCTGGTTGAAGAAGGTTCTCCAGAGGGCAGCAGCTAGCCCACGGTCATCTGAAAGGATCCCCTGGAACACAGAACAGGAAGTGCCTTGAGGAGCCACCACACAAAAGCTGGGATATTTGAACAGGAGACCAAAGAAAGGATTCAGAAGGAGTGAGAAAGCAATGGAAGAGCTTATGGGAACATCTGGTCCAAACTTTTTTGGAAGGGAGTTGTTGTTGGGATAGGATTTCATTGTGTAGCTCTGGCTGGCCTGAAACTCATTATGTAGCCCAGGCTAGAACTCACAAATTGCCTCTGCCTCTGAGTGCTTCTTTTTTAAAAGTAAATTTTATGTGCATGAGGGTTTGGCCTGCAAGTGCGCCATGTGTGTGCCTGGTACCTGCAGAGACCAGAAGGTGTCAGATCCCCTGGAACTGGAGTTATAGGTGGTGGTGGGCCATCATGTGGGTACTGGATCCTCTGGAGGAGCAGCCAGTACTCGTAACCACTGAGCCACCTCTCCAGCCCCCAACGCTTCTCTTTATACAGAAGAACGTGGACGCCAAGGGTCAAGGCACTGGCTAAAGTAATGCAGAGCTGGCACTCAGGTTTGACAGACCCTTCCAGGTATGGTCCATTTGCCTCTAGCACACTGAGCTTGGCCTAGACAATGAACGTCTGCAAGGCCCAGCAAGGGTGGCATGGGAGCCATACTTCTGCTGCTATTCACAAGGTGTGGGCTAGAAGCATTGCCATGTTTGCCTGGGCATGGGGATGGGTATGGACTGCTCCTGCTTGTTTGGTCCAAGGTCACACACCTGCAAGGTAGCTGGCTCTTTGGGAAAGGGAATAAGGTACCTTGCCCTCACTGTTACCCATCTGGCCATGACCAGCCCATGACTCTCCCTGAAGAGAGGAACAGGCTGTTTAGTAGGATTGCCATGGCCACAGGGGGCCATGCTCAGAGCCTGTCTATGTGCCCAACACTGCCTCTCCTGGCTCTGGGAATCCTGTCTGGAAGCCCAGATATTAGAGAGGCCAATTACAGCCATTTTCTCGCTCAGACCTCTGGGGCAGGGAGGATGAAGGCGGCAGAAGGGAGAGGCCCTGAGAAGTATCTCTGTCTTTGTACCAGATGGGACATGGAGCCCAAGCGCTGCCTTGGACTCGGAAGCTGGGCTTAGCCCGAGTTCAGTCTCAGTGGCCACGGCTAAACCCGAGTCTTTGCTTCTTGGATACTCAAAGTGCGGAAAACATTTGCTCTAGAATGGGTGTGGTGGTTCATGCCTATAACCTCAGGACTTGAGCAGGAGGTAAAAGAAAATACTTGCTCTACCTATAGCATTCTCGAATTACCAAGATGAGGTAATGTGGCCCGGGGGTGTGGCTCAGCAGAGTGCTTGCTTAGTATCTTCAAAGCTCTGGATTCAGTTCCTAGCACCTCCACACAAGAGAGCAAAGGCTTTTATAAATAATTACATTTACTGATGTTGCAGCCATGTGGGTTTGGGTGTGCACATGCCACAGAGAGCATGTGAAGGGCAGAGGACAACTTGCAAGGTTTGGTTCTCTCCTTTCACCAGGTGGCTTCCTGGGCTTTGGCTCGGCTCATAAGGCTTGGTGGTAACTTTAACTGAATGAGCTCTCTCCAGCACAGTTTTTGGATGTTTTTGACAGGGTCACTCAAGGCTGCCCTCAAGCGCTCTATGTAGCCAAGGGGGGCCTTGATCTCCTGACCCTTTGCCTACACCTCCCAAGTGCAAAAATTGCAGGTATGTGCCATTGTACCCGGCTGCAAAGCCATTTAAAAAGTTAAATATGTTGGGTACAATAAATAAGAGCATGCTTTAATTAGCAGCTGATATACCTGAGACAACCGTAGGATCTGGGAGCCAAACCACCTAAGTTCAGTGCTGGTGGCAGTGTTGCCTCTGAGAGGCCCTTGGCCCCTCTGGAGCCTCTGGTCTGAGTCAGCTAAGCCTGAAAATTCCTATCCCACATAGTTGTAAGCATTAAGAGACAATGTCCAGGAGAGGCTTTCTATGTAGTAAAAAGCCTTACAAAAACGCAGGGGCGTTTAGTCCATGTTATATAGTGGACTTGCCTCATGGGCCCTGTGGTGTGTGCGGCAGACCAGCTTGTCAAAGAGGTTCCGCCTACAGCGTGGGGAGTTAATAGACAGGTGGGAAAACATTCCACCTGCCCAAGATGCCGTCTGTTAAACCCCCACTGCTCCACATCTCAAGACTGTCCTGGCGTGATGGCTGAGCTGGGGAAATCCGCTTCTTCTAACGATGGCAACGGTAGCCAAAGACAAGCTCAGACACAGCCTCCTCCTGCAAGCTATCTGCTAACACATCAGGCTGCCGTGTGTGAAGTGCCCTGGGCACAGGCGGGATGCTGTTGGCTGAGACTCACTTATGTGACATGGGAAGGGGGTGGGTGGGAGTGTCACAGGGGCTTGCTGCAATCAGGGATCCCTGGAGAGGGGGAGGTGGCTGGGACAGTGCAAATCCATACACGGGGTCCTGAGCAGTTAGACAGAAAGGGGGGATACAGGACATGTCAGTCCTGCTAATAGCCTGTTCCGGACTTTGCCAGCCAGTATCTAATGACTGCCTACAGCACACAGCACAGGCATCATTACCCCCACCTGAAAGATAAGTACTGAGGCTCAGGGGTTATCAAGGTAACTGGGTGGAGAGAGGAACCTCCCTGCACTGCTGAGGTCAGGGATGGGGCCTGCCTAGCCATCACACAGCGCTGGCACAGGGTACTAGTGTGTGAAAATGACAGACGCCAGCACCAAGCCCAGCTGGAGCCTGCCAGTAACCCAGTGAAAACAAGGGGGAGCCTCACCAAATGTGCAAGTTTGAAAGTCAGGCAGCAGAAGAGGCAAGGGATACTCAGGGCCCAGCTTCGAGGTGCAGGGTTAACTTCCCACAATCTAACAGGGTGTCTGCTGTTTACCTCATGACATAAAGAAGGCCTTCTTCAGAAAATTAGGGTGTCTGGGTTAGAGGAACAGACAGAAAGCTACGGCACTGTCCTGGACTGGTGGCTGCCCCTGTGCGCTTAGCCTATGCAGGTCTCTGTGAGTTCAAAGCCAGGCTGGTCTACAGAGTGAGCTCCAGGACAGCCAGGGCTACACAGAGAGGCCCTGCCTTGAAAAACCAAAGCAAGCAAACAAAGCTGCAGAGATGGCTCAGTGCCGAAGAACACTTGCTGTACTTGCAGACAGGGGTTGGTTCCCAGCACCTATACGGTGGCTTAGAGCCATCCGTGAGTCTAGCCCAGGGGATCTGGTGCCCTCTCTCGGCCGCCACTGTTAGCAGGCATGAACATGGTATACACATACACGGGCAGGCAGATGGACAAGGAAGGGAGGGAGGGAGGAGCAGGTGGGGAGCATGTGGAGAGCTGTAGCAGATCCTAACCACGGGGGGCGGGGGGGAATGCATGAGACACAGAGTCCTCCAGGTAACATGCTAACCCTTCCTGGCTACTGACTTCAGCACTCCAGGTCCAGGAGAGTGTTTATCAGTCTCGGCATTAGCACAGGGCTTCGAGGTCAAAGGCCTCCCTTGGAGGACAGGCAACGAGATGAAGATAGACAGGACTTGTGACAATACAACAGTTCACAGAAGGCCTGTGACATTGGGAAGCATCTGAACTTAACAAAGCAGAAAGCCAGGGAGGGAAGCAGGAGCCACACAGGGAAGGGCTTGCCGCAGAGTGGTTCTGTTCTCCACGGTAGCCTTCGGCACATGACTACTGAATAGCAGCGGGACCAAGAGTATGGGGATGTGTAGTTTATTTAATGAGATCCAAATAGTAACAGATAGCTGCACTGGGACAAGTCTAGAATCTTTTGATTATAGAGTGTTCTGAAAAATGGCTGTCCACATACCAGTTGGGTAACATGTTCCTGACACTGAAATTTCTAGAAAGTATCTCAGGTAATTAGCATATTTTCCAAGCTTTTCTGTTCACGTCATCTGGGTGCTTGCTGAAGCACCAGGTGGCTCCTACTGGATCAAAGCCTTCACTGAGGCTTAGGGATCAGATTGAAAGCATCTCCTGGGGTCAGAACATGAGGCCCCATGCACATACAGACAGCAACAAGTAAACTCAGTGGAAAACAAAACAAAAAAACAGAGCAGATGGAGTTAGAAGGGAAAAGCTGGCGGGGGGACTAACAGGAGGAAATTGTAGGAGAGGGAATGGAAGATGGGTTTAATCAAAACACATTATATGCATGCATGAAATCCTGAAATAAAGAAAAGGAGAAGGGGGAAAAAAGCCTCCAATGGACTTGAGACATAGCTAATTTGGCAGAGAGCATGCCTAGCATAGAGCCTTGGGTTCAATCCCTAATGTGAATAAATCAGTGATAGAACATGCCAGCTCAGAGAAGAGGCATGTGCCACCACACTCAGCTTCATTCTGTTCAGAGACTCAAACCCAGGGCTTTGTGAATTCTTAGGCAAGTAATTTACCAACTGAGCCACGCCCAGCCTTCCTCCCCTCCTCACTGCAAGCCAAACACTGTATCAGTCATCAGAAACACACTGGGCGCTGTTGCTTCCCAGGGGGGAAAATCTCCCCTAGCCAGGTGACAGACAGTTAATGCTAGCGAGTGTTGTAAGCACCCAGGGCAGGTGGAATGAGGTAAGCCTGGGGAAGGTTAGGGACCCTTTCCCAGGAGGAGCGGAGCTTGCAGTAAGTCAGGAGTTAACCGCAAAATGAGTTTAAAAAAGCACATCATTTATCAAGAAAAAATAAGGTCTGATGAACGCTGCAAGTATGTATACAGGTGTTCATTACACCATCTTTTTAACGTTTCTACACGTTAAAATTTCCATGATAAAGTTGGAGGGCTGGGAAATGACATGGATACAACATGGATGAACCTGGAGACACCCTACTAGGTGAAACAAGCCACTAAGAAGAGCAAAATCGCTGTGCGATTCTACCCACACGAGGTCTTAGCGTAATTCATAGAGACAGAAAGTAAACTGGTGGTTTCCGGGAGCTGGAGGAGGAGGAAATGGGGAAGTGGTGTTCAGTGGGACAGAGTTTCAGTCTGAGACTGTGAACACTCAACAGCAATGGCTCTCGGAATAAGGTGCTCTGCAGGAAGTGTGCAGGTGTGACTGCATAAAAGCGAGGAGCTGCTGTCTGCACACACGTCAATAGGAAGGAGACTCAACTGACGGCCTCTCCTCGGGGCTGGGCAGAAATAGGGTCTTTGTACTCAGGCAGGTACATACTCAGTTATGTGAACTTTAAAATGAGCATATGCAGCAAGTGTGGTGGCGCACACCTCTAATCCCAGCCCTCAGGAGGCAGAGGCAGGTGGATCTGAGTTCGAGGTCAGCCTGGTCTACAGAGTGAGTTTCAGGACAGCCAGGGCTACACAGAGAAACCCAGTCTGGAAAAAACTAAATAAAATGAGCATGTGGGGGGCTGAGGAGATGGCTCAACGGCTTAGTGCATTTGCTGCTCTTGCACAGGAACTGGATTCAATTCCCATGATGGCTCTCAGATTTGTCCTAACTCCAGTTACAGGGGACCCATTGCCCCCTCTGACCTCCACAGGCACCAGGCACTCATGAGGCATAAATACATACATATATAAAAAGTTCATACACATGAGCACGTGCTGCTTTAAAATGAAAAATAAAACAGCACACATTATGTCCCACAGACCATGTTGTTACATATGAGTGTCTTGCTTTCTCTGGGGAGAGCTGGGGCCATGGCAGTATCTGATACACTTTTGTGCCCCCATCCAGTACCCATCGGGCACTCAATGCCAACTAGCTGAATGTTTGACCAAATTATACAGTGCTCTCTTTCCCGAGCATTTGATGAAGGTCAAGAAATAAATGCTAAGCAATAATGGCACGTAGAGAACACGGTCCTCAAAGCTTCCTCTGAATGCCCTCCTCAAAGGATCTATTAGAAGCTGGACAGATGGCTCAGTGGCCACAGGCACACGGCGCTCTTTTTTTTTTTTTTTTTTAATTTATTTATTATTTATACAACATTCTGCCTGCACACCAGATCTTACTATAGATGGTTGTGAGCCACCACATGGTTGCTGGGAATTGAACTCAGGCCCTCTGGAAGAGCAGCCAGTGTTCTTGACCTCTGAGCCGTCTCTCCAGCCCCCCACGGCGCTCTAACAGAGGATCAAGTCAGTGACTCCCAACTGCCTGTAACTGCAGCCCCAGGGATCGATGCCCTTTCCTGGCCTCCGAAGGCACTGACATGCACCCTCACATACACGTGGCAGGCACTCCCACAGACACATACACAGAAATGTAAGGAATCTTTATAAAGAAAGGAGGAGGGATGGAAGAGAAGGGAGCTGCGGGCCTTTGTGGCAGGAGGCTACTGCAGCCTAAGGCTTGGCAAATGATCTTACCTCGTCATATCCCAAGATTGACGCATAGAAATTGTTTGTCATGAAGGCCATGTTCTTCTTTAGGATATAGGAATTGACCTATAAAAACAAGAGTATGAGAGTAAGGAAAAGCATGTCACAGGCTGCTGAAACAGAGAGCCAGGAACTCAGTCTAAACTGGCAGTCCATTTCCAATCCCCTTGGCTGTCAGGATCCTCCACAATGAAAATGCCACTTCTTTTAGATTTTGGTTCAAATTTCATTCATCTTAATGAATGGGTCCTCACCTGCATGCCTGGTTTGGTGAACATAAATGTTCTGATGAACACAACACATCAGAAACTGTCTGATTACAGGGGAGGACAGCTTAGTGGAGGGAGGCTGTGAAAACTCCAAGGTGCGGTATAATCCCTATGCTGCACCTTAGCACCCCTGTAAGGTTTTATAGTTAGTCACACCTACAATCCCCAGCACTCAGAGGATCCAAAGTTCAAGGTCATAATGAGTTTGAAGCCAGCCTGGGCTACATGAGACCATGTCTCAAAGACAAACAAAAGGGCCACTGAGATGGTTTGGCAGGCAAAGGTGCTTGCTGCCAAGCCTGAGAACTGGAGTTTGGTCCTCAGGGCCCACATGATGGAAGGAGAAAAATGGCATCTGCAAGGTGTTCTCCAACCCCCACACGAGTGCATGCACACATACACACAAATAAATAAGTATAACTTAAATTATGATCTTGCTATGTCTGTCTGTGTGTGCACCATGCGTGTATAGTGCCCAGCAAGGCCAGAACAGAGCACTGGACCCCTTGCAACTGGAGTCACGGGCAATTGTGAGTCACCTCTCCAGCTCTAGGAATTAAACTTTTATCTTATTTTTAGATAGGGGCTCTCTATGCAACTCTGGCTAGCCCAGTAGATGAGGCTGGCCTCATCTCACAGAGCTCTGCCTGCCTCTGTTTCCCAGGTGCTGGGATTAATCATGTGCATTCAGATCTTTCAAACACCAGGTCTGGAAGTTCTTAGTGAAACAAAACAAAATTACTGCCACCCAATGGCTCAAATCCTATTACAAATGTGCAAATACAAGTGAATTTTAGTGCAAATGGCCTCATGTTGGAGGGCTGAGGAAGACTGTATTAGGACACATTTAAGTGGCCCTGAGAGGGGCTACAGAGCTGGCTCAGGAGACAGGAGTGAACAGAGATGAGACTCAAGTTTGGCTCCCAGCAACCCTGTGGAGTTAGGTGGCTCACAGCTGCCTGTACCTCCCGTCTTAAGCATATTGATACACCTGATCTCTGCAGACACCGACCCTCATGTGCACAGGAACCCCCCACACACAGAGGAAACAAGGTGTTCAGGGGGAGGGGATAGAAAAGGAGTATTTGGGGGCCACAGTCAGGTGACAAGGCAGAACACTGCCTCTCCATGGTAGGGAATGTCTCAAGGGTCGCCGGGATGAGCTCACAGGGAAAGGCAGAGAGGGTGAAGAGCGGTGGGATGGCATGTGAGATGCTGAGCAGGGAGGAGGGGACACAGAGATATCGTTGTGAATGCTAAGGGACTGCTGTAGACATGTAATTCCCGAGAGGCTCATGAGATGCGGATTAAACTCCTCATACAGCTGCAGTCCGGGGTGTAGTTCACTGAATGTCTTCAAGAGGTAAAACTTGGATGCCAGGTGGTAGTCTACTTGGGGGCCATGTGCTGTTCTTCTGTGGGATCCTGGCAGAGAGCCCATCACGATGCAACATGGCCTAGAGACTGTTACTTAACCTGACAAGTTTAAGAACTGCCAAACATCCTTTAGAACCTCACATGGAGACTAAGAGTCCTGTTTAACAATCCTTTCCACGCCCACACTGTCTCCTCTAACCCACCAGAACCCAGATAAAGATATGCTGCAGTCACCCATATCTGACTGCCTGAGAGACTGAGGAATGGATGGGATGTGACCTGATGCTGATAAAACTGAGACCACCACCCATTCAAGGCTGATGCTCCTTCTATCCCTCAGGACCCTGCACTTCCAGGAAAATTCACTTTGGTTCACAAAAATAGTCACTTTCTTATCTCTGGGATGCAACACCTGAAAGAAGTTACCCAAGGGAGGAAGGATTGATTTTGGCTCACACTGCTGAGAGGACACGGTCCACAGAGCAATAGAAGATGTGTCTGTGGGCACATGGCAGGGATGAGGAGGGGCTGCTTGTTCACATCTTGGTGGATCAGGAAGCAGAAAGCTTGGACCAGAAATGAGGTCCCACTATAATCCTGAAAGCCTGTCCCCTGCAACACACAGAGAAGATCCCACGACCTTCCTCACAGTTCCATCACCTGGAAGCTAAGCGCTCAAACACAGGAGCCTAGCGGGGGACGCTTTACATTCAAACTGTGACATAATAAATCAAGGACTGAGTGATTTTTATCCTAGTGTTCATAACTGGTCTCTGGAGGTCAGAAGAGGCAAAATGATTTGGGTTTTAGACTCAGAAAACCTGGATTCAAATCATAGCTCTGGTATATATTTTGGATGTGGTCTTGAGCAAGCCAACCTGAGGCTGTTTTGTCTTTTAAATGCCCTGCACACAGGAACTGTTTTCAAGAGCACATGAGTTCGTTTGCATTCATTCACTAGGTTAACACCATACCCTGGAAGTCTTGGTAAACGGCAGCGAACTCTGAAAACACAAGGAACTGTGAGTAAGACCTGGTTTGTTTATACAAAACTAAAACTAAAACCAGCTCCGGTGCTTTACAGTCATGGACAATTTTCAAAAGTGAAGAGAGAATTGTGAAGTCTGAGGCTGGAAAATATGAGATTGCTGGTAGCTGGGAGTGGAAGCCATGACCTTTCCTACCCACCTTCGAGCCAGGCCACAGTAGCCGCTGCTCCTTGGTGCTCGCGGAGTTCTGTGTGTCTTTCTCCCCCAAGTACACAGTATGGTTGGAGTTGCTCATGTGCCTGTCTCTCCCCTCAGTCTGTGAGCCTCTCAAGCTTGGGTCACAGGAAGCAAGACTGAGTCATTTTGGCACCCAAACACCTGGCCTGGGACTAAGACAGACATGTTGATAATGAACCCTTAAGGTCACCACTCAGGGCTGGCGACAGAGCTCAGGTCTGACTACTTGCCCAGCAAGTGTGAAGCCCTGGGTTCAGCACCCCAAACAAACAAGCAAGCAAATAAGCGAGCACAGGGGCCACTCACAGCAAGCTCTCACCAATGACACAAGTTATTTTGTTTTGTTTTGTTTTTGCTGAAAAAACAGCTTCCAGGCTTCTGTAATTCCACAAATATATACTACAATATTTCTGCTGCTTCATCTGATGTGCTATGGTGAAGGGGCCAGGGGCAAAGGCCAGAATCAGCATTCATTGCTTCTATCATAGGAGGATGAGAAGAACCCACTAATGTTCTTTCTTACGTATGTACTGGGTGCTCTCCCAACTGTGCAAGACGACCAGAGCCAAAAAAGCACATCAGGGTGTCCAGCATTAAGACAAGGCACCACTCCTAGGAAAACATTTACCGAACCTGCCTGGTTGGCAGTTAGCTTCCAGCCTGCATCATGCCAACTAGCTCCAAAGCTGGAAGGGCCTTCAGGGATCACCTGGCCCAGTGACCCTGAGGGAGGAAAGGAATGGTGAAAGGAGAGCTCAAATGTGGGAAGAGACAGATCCCAGGTCACACAATAAGTTACCATGAGAGCAGGCTCGCAGACTCCACTCCCCCTCTGAAGCCATTTATCTGCTGGTGTGCCAGGTAGGCCTATATGGGGCATGCTGCCTGTGAATACACAGATCCCCCAGCAGAAGATGGTGCTGTGCTGTTTGCTTATTAAAAATCTTATCCTGTCCATAATGCTTTGCTTTTTATAAAAACCCATACATACTGAGCCACCACATGGGAAAGGTTCCCTTTATATCAGTTACTCATATTTTCCCATTTATTTAACCTATTAAAATTCATGCAGATATTTTATAAGCCATCAGAATTCGATGACTGCTATTACTGAATGTTTAATAATAAACTAAACAGAAGAAATCAGAGGGTTAAATGATGACTGCAATTCCTGTAATGACTTAATTAAATTTTTATTGAGTACATAAACTATGATGTCACCTCTAGCCAACCAAGGCTCTGCTTTCGCAGCATGTCACAGGGTGGGAGCACTCAATAGAAGGCTAGGCTAAATGAGCAGCAGGTCTCTGCTGAAATGGGGGAGGGAGCAAGGCTCATGTAACACACTCAATAAATTATCCGTTCATTTTTAAACAAAGTCCATGAGTTATAATATATTTGCCATGCACTTTTTATGGCATAATAAAAATGTTACCTTAAGGATTACTTAACACATACTACAAATGTTATAGCAGAGGCAGGCACAAGGGGCAAAGAAAACAAACATGAACAGGCCAGGGACGGGTCCTGGAGTTTATGTCCCGGGGGAACAGCTCAGTATATTAAAAGGGGAATGCAAAAAACAGGGGGTGCAACTGTTCAGGGCTACTAATCAGCAGATTAATGAATGACACGGCCAACAGGGAGCACAAGCAAAAAGGGCTCTCAAAAGGCACACGTTTAATTAATGGGCGTATTCTCAAGGAGGACCATGGGCTTTAAAGAGATGCCAGTTCATTTGAGGCCAGTTCAACGCTCCTGTCCCCTTCTCACTGCTGCAGCCCTTAAAGATGTTTATGTGACTGCTTAACACTGGACCGGACTGTGGCGCAGACTGAAGGAGATCATGGTTTAACCTCCGAGAGCACGGAAAGGGGCTTCATGATTTTCCTAGGCCATTTTCCTGACCTCATTCCCTTTTGTCTCCCCATGTTCATTCTAGGGCTTGGTCAGAGTCAACTCCACCATTTTCCACGGCCGTGCCATGCTCTCCTGTTCTCACCCACACTAGCAGGAGATCTTCTTGTCTTTACCAGTGGAAGGGACGCTGGTCCCTTCTCATCTTCAAAGACCTAGCCTCCAAAGTACTTGCCCCCAAGTCTGCATATGCTCTGAGCAATTCAAAGCCAGGAGCCGGCCACATAACCAGCTACTACCAAGTGCTAAACTAGCAAGCTCAATTAACACGTCCTGC